TTTGGTAGTGAAAAGAAAGAGTAAGGTATTAAAGTTAAGATGAGTTATATTATACTTTGAGTTACTATAATATATTTTACGTATGTTTTAACTTGTCATAAATTATTACATACAAGTTTATGTTTTATAAATTATATAAATATTTTAATTACGTGGATTAATTTATAAACTCTATTTGTTTAAATGAAACCCATTGATATATTTGTTTATATTTTAAAGAATATATGACTATGATCTTATAAACAATTATGTTTTGTAAGTACCACCACGGGAGTCCCACGCCTTAGGAGACTTGAATAACCATTGACCTCTATTTGGTCACCTTGTGTCCCTATGCTGTCATGGATCTATTGACATCTGTTCTATGCGAAACAAAGTGATGTGCGGAGATAAGTGCTACACTATTGTGGGAGCCATCTCTATAATCTGTACGAGCCACCTCTTGAATCCGTATCTCTGTTCTGACTATCACTTCTGTAACCTCTGTTCTGTTCTGTTCAGTATCGTGGTTATGATTATTTATTTACACAATTTCAGTTTTGCTACCTAGATGATTATTTGTTCAGACTAAGTTATCTTAAATATTTTGGTTACATAACTATCCATGGTTATTTTTTGTTCCTTATACTCTTGGTATAATATTTCTCACTTTGCCATGTGCTTATACCTGCTTACCAATTTTCAGGAAACAATACAATTCATAAATAGAAGCTCCGATGATTATTTTGGTACTCTTACTTGAATATTACTTCCACTCGTGTTTATTAATTTGTTTAAAAATTAGCCGGAGGTAATCTCAGTTACTGGCCATCACAATACTTAACCCTTGGGTACGGGGAGCGGGTTGTGACACTTATAGTTTGGGACTTGTGTCACTTTGGTCCCTGACTTTTCAATTGTGACACATTTGACAATACATTTTGAATCTTGTTCCAAATAAGGACAATTGAAGATATTATTACTCAATTTCAAGGGCAAAATCGTCAAGTTTATAAAATATAAACCAATTTGACAAAAATAAATGTCAAAAAATATTTTTGAATTTTAAAAAATTATTTCTACATACCAAAGATAAAATTATACAAAATTGATAAATTTTTTGGACATTTATTTATTTATTTATTTACACCAAATTAATTTTTATTATGTGTTTGGATGATGATCATGTAATGGGTGGTTGTTTTTATTTTCATTAAATTAGTTTCTATTTTTCAAAAAGTCAAACATAGCGACAATTTTGATATCGTTGTTAAACCAATCTATTAAATTAAAAAATTCAAAACTAAAAACATTTTATATATTAAATATATCGATTACACATTAAAATCTTAATAACCACCCATTACATAATCGTCATCCAAACACATAATAAAAGTTAATTTGGTAAAAAAAAATTAAATGTCTAAAAGATTTATCAATTTTATATAATTTTATCTTTAGTGGGTAAAAATAATTCTTAAAAATTAAAAAATATTTTTTTGACATTTAATTTTGTCAAATTGGTTTAAATTTTATCAAATTGACGATTTTTTCATTGAAATTAAGCAATGATATCTTTAATTGTCCTTATTTGGAACAAAATTTAAAATTCAGAGTCAAATATATCACAATTGAAAAGTCATAAACCAAAACAACACAAGTCCCAAACTATAAGTGTCACAACCCGCTCCCCGTACCCAAGGGTTAAGTATTGTGATGGCCAGTAACTGAGATTACCTCCGGCTAATTTTTAAACAAATTAATAAACACGAGTGGAAGTAATATTCAAGTAAGAGTACCAAAATAATCATCGGAGCTTCTATTTATGAATTGTATTGTTTCCTGAAAATTGGTAAGCAGGTATAAGCACATGGCAGAGTGAGAAATATTATACCAAGAGTATAAGGAACAAAAAATAACCATGGATAGTTATGTAACCAAAATATTTAAGATAACTTAGTCTGAACAAATAATCATCTAGGTAGCAAAACTGAAATTGTGTAAATAAATAATCATAACCACGATACTGAACAGAACAGAACAGAGGTTACAGAAGTGATAGTCAGAACAGAGATACGGATTCAAGAGGTGGCTCGTACAGATTATAGAGATGGCTCCCACAATAGTGTAGCACTTATCTCCAGCTCGTATCAATGCCAGCTCCACTCATCGTCGATGTCCCATTTCAGCCATGTTTTTTTTTTAGAGCTCCGAACACACAGATCTCGGTCCTACTTTCACATCTACTGAAGTCCACCACCATTGGTTCTAACCGTGATTAATCAATGCCGACCACGTCGCCGACTCAACGCGGCGTCGGTTTGCCTAGCTTCCTTCCTCATCTACTGCTTCGTGCGCCATTCTCGGCCTACACCGCTTGTGATTGATAACCCGTCTCCTCACTATGCTGCCCCTAAATCTGTGAGTTAAGCACTTGTTGAAAACCCATTTTTGAACCCCTCATTTTGATGGGTTTTGGTCTTGATTTAACAAAGTTCATTCTCTTCATTGCTTTGGATTTGTGAGTGTATGTCTTATTGTTTTGATGGACTTTTGTGCTCAAAATAAATATGTACTGATACATTTTCTAATTTGGGAATTCTAGTGATGATTTATTTCAGTCTTGAGGCTTGCAAACAATCTTGAACTAGTGAAGACAATACCCACCGCTGGCCTCTCTCTGCTGGTTTGCTTCTGGCTTCGACGATCCAACGCTGACCACACATATCGCCCCACTCAACGTGACGTGTGTGGTTGCCGACTCCTCTGTGGCACCACTCTTGCTTCCGGCTTCGACTATCCAGCGCCAACCACACACGTTTGCCCTTTCAACGCGACGTGTGTGTGGGCCTGCCTAGCACTGCTCAGCTCGGCGTCGGCCTTGGGTGTATGTGTCTCACGTTTGTGGTCTTGCCACTGCTTCCACCCGCGGTTCTCCATCTCGGTTGGCACTATTTCTCAGCTTCTTCTTTGTCATTGTAGAGTGAATTTATCTCCACTCACCGTCCTCGGGATCGGGTCCTTTGTTCGAACTCCATTACGCCCATGGTTCTGGTGCGTAGATCCCGGAAAGCTCCGAGCCCGCAAGTGTTCTGGGACTCATTAACGGAGCGGCTTCTAGATTGCATCTGAATCCGTTCGAAGCCAAGTGCTTCGGATCTCTAGATTCGTAGGTCCGAATCCTTTCGAGTCCGAGTGCCTCGGATCTCTAGGCTTGTTCAACACCCTTTCGAGTCCGGGCCCGAGTAAGTCTCTAAGTCTCTAAGTTCGTGGATCCGAACCCCTTCGAGGCTTAGAGCGATTCAGCCCGTTTGATGGCGATAAATCTGGGCTCACCGATCTTGGACTTGCGATAAATTCGGGCCCACTAATCTTGGGCTATTGGGCCTAAATAATTTAGTGGGCTTAAATTAGCTCCTCTTACATTGGGTATGTGAGAAATAATAGTGGACTACATATTTGTAATTAGTAAAAGATAATATTACGTGCTACCCTGTTGATATACAAAATTATTTCCCAATTTAGGGTTGTTTTGCTTATGGTTCATTTTAGGAGAAATGACAGTGTAGTTGGACGGTCAATTTATTTTATTTATTTATATATATGTTATGATTTTTTATTTTTTTAATTATTTCACTGTGCAGTTTTTTCCTTTTTATTTTATGTTGAATGATCTATCTTAAATATAATTATTAATGTTAAACAATTATTTTATATGAATGATTTACTGAAAGGACACCATATACTAGAGGAAGCTGATACCATTAATTGAATAAATAGAGTTTTGGATTGGCCTTTAACTTTGCTTTCATCCTTTGAACAATCCATCTTCAAAATCTTTTATCTTAAAAAATTAAATTGGAAGGTATTGTTGGGTCCGTAGGGACTCACCATAGGTTTCGTTTCAATAATCCGAACCGTTCAATGTGTAGAAGTCATTGAATACTATATGCTTGTAAAAAATTACGTTGATCGGATTTCGATAGCTATCTCATCGAAACAGATTTTTGTCAACTGTTTATTTTTTCACCGTCACTTTTTTTTAATACAAAACTGATTTGATCATATAGCTATCGATATCCGATCAACGTGATTTTTTTACAAGTATATAGAACTCAATGAGTTCTACATATTGAACCGGTACAGATTATTGAAACGAGACCAGTGGTGGGCTCTCTTGAGTCCAATAGTATCCTCCAATTCAATCACGGACGGGAGGGAACTAATCGCTAATAAAAAATCTCCATAATTATAATTTATAATTTCAAGAAAGTCATCATCACATCATTTGAGCGTAGTATAATTTTTTTGTTTATAAATTATTTTTTAAATATATATAAAGAGATATATTCAATTTATTGAGATGTGTGACAGATATAAAAGTAAACAGAAATGATAGAGACTTTTTTTTTTTTTTTTTGACCTCCACAATCCCTACAAACACATGCCAACAAGTGATAAAGAGAAAAAAAAACAAAAAATAAAAAACAAATAATTGACCAACCCTATTACGTTGGGGTGGCGGGGATTAAAAAAAAAAATAAAAAATTCTGAACCTTTTTCCAAAGGCAAAATGAAGTGTATTTACATGAGAAACCTCCGAAACCCTATTTAGATTGTATAGATTAATAGTATCACTTTGCTTGGTTCTTATTTTTTAAAAGTAGTTTTTAGAAAATTGTACACTCTTATTTTTTGTGTTTTTTTATTTTTGCTGAATTTTTTTAATATTTTATACAAATTTTTTACTTTTTAGACACACCTAACATAAATACACCTAAAAAGTAAAAAAATTGTAAAAAAAATCTTTTAAAAATTCACTAAATACCAAAAATACAAAAAAAATACAAGAATTTAGTACATTTTTTATATTTTTATGTATTTCTTCATTTTTTAAAATATTTTTTCACAATTTTTTTACTTTTAGACACATCTAAATAAGGTGCATCTATAAAAGTAAAAAAAATGTTTAAAATTTTAAAAATATTTACTAAAAACAAAAAAACACGAAAATCAAAAAATTCAATTTTCAAAAAACTTAATTCAAAAAACTCAAACCAAACACAGTGTACTATTCACCGATACGATATATAACTATCGCTAATTCCAACACGTATATTGTTTAAAGCCATGGTCTTCACATGAGAAACTTCGAAAGCCCTATTTTGGTGCCGGCAGTCTTGACATCCTCTTGAACTTGTCCTCTGTACTCTCTGAAGCTAAATTTCCTGTACAATGGAGGCTCCTTGCAAGTTTGTATGACAGTCTCAATGGTAGGACAGAAAAAATATCCAACAGAAAACCTTTCTACTTCATGATTGGTCACAACCCTGTGCTCTATGCTCTTGTACACACCATTGCTCCATGCCTACATTTACAGATAGACACCAGCTTGTGCATGAGTCATTGTACAATGCATGAAGTTATACTTGGATTAGTACGTAATATATAGTTACTAACTAATTATTCCTTTGGGGAGCACTTTTGTGAATCATCTTATTTGTTTTTTGTTTTTTGTTTTTAGCTCAATAAACTATCTTGTCGTTTGTCATGTATGAAAAGATTAATAAATCAACTTATTTTCCAAAGTAAAAAAGTAAAAAAAAAAAATCTCATTTTAACCAAAAAATAAAAAAAAAATTATCAAACAACATGACTTATTAGCCATTATAAAAGTCTAAATATCATAAGCCTTTTAGGCCCATTTGACAAGATGGTTGAGATTAATTTAACTCTTTAAAAGATAAAATAAATTAAAAAATTAATAAGATAAAATGTTATATGCAAATCATAATTATTTTACTTTTTTTCTCACAAAATTACAAAAAAGTCAAAAACTAATCCCAAATGAAACTTTTTTAATCAAATTAAAATAATCAAAAAATTAATAAGTCAAGCAAAAAAAATCTTTCAAAGCCTTAAGCAACTTGAATTTATTTTATTGTTTATATGCTGATTTATAAATTGACTCAATATAGCACGTTTATGTGTAATTATTAAATATTTTTTTTGGGTCAAAGATAACATTAGAATAAGGATTCAGTTATTTAAGAAACATAAGAATTTGTTGTTACAAGAGACTATCTTTTTCCAAATATCCACACAATTTAATTAATAACGGTATTGATATAAAAGGGTATAGATATTTAAGAATAGAGAATCCTGCACCACGAGCATATAATAAAATACAAATTCAATAATCGAAGCATCAGAGAAATCAAATAAATACAATGAAGTAATAAGACTTACATGTAAATGAAGTATATGTATGTGTACCTGGAATAAATCACCAATGATGATAATTAAAGCCTCTGGATTGGGTTTAACACTAACCCATTTTCCATCTTTGGCCACTTGCAAACCTCCAACATGGTCTTGGCACAATATTGTGAGGAAGTCACTGTCAGTATGTGGAACCATCCCATACACTTTCGATGATGACACTGGGCATGGTGGGTACCTGTTCATTCTCACATAACATGAGCTAGGTTGGCAATTTTTTGCAAAGAAAGTGGATCTACACCCAACATTCTCTGCTAATATTTCAGCTATTCTTTGAGCCAGCTCACAAACCACTTCAGAAAATTCAGCAATTGTTGTGCTGCAAAAATACAACAGATCTAAAATAACAACAAAAGAACAATTGAACAAGCCATGCATTCACGGATATCCACTAAAGACATAAAAAATAATAACAAGATCATTCTAAAACAAGGTTTTGCATAACCTGGGATATACAATGTATTGGTCTCCTGATACCGATACACCCTGATATACTAATAGAAATGAAAATCGCTCGTGTATTGTTTAATTCACAATGCGCACTTGTTTCTTACTGATTCACTAAATTCACACCTGATTCATAGATGATATGACTGGGTCAAAAACTGTGAGATTTATTGGCAGATGAATTAAAAAAGGTTTACTACCACAATACACAATTCACGATTGCTATCCTTCTATACTTGCTTTTGTATAGTAAGCCCTCTTTTGGGGACATCTCAAATAAGCTGCTTATTGGTTATATCTATCGCATCATCTTTTAATTTTTTTGTATATCTTTTTATAATAAGTAAAAAAATCAAAAAATAAGTTACACCAAAAACAATCCTAAATCAAACCGTTGTGCAAATAGCTACGTCCGTCATTGTGATAATTGAAGTTTATTCTTGTTGAGAACATAAGTAACAAATTTCTCTCTCTAACATCTTAATTTTTTAAATATAGTGACTAATAATTTAATATGATATTAGAGGAGATAATAGTTCATGTTTTCATAGGGGAGAGTATAAGAATGTGTGTTGAAATTAGATATAATGAAGTTGTCCATTTCTCTAATTGCTTAATTCCATATTTAGTTGTCCTATTACGGAATTCGAACCTTACATGCTCAGACTACTTGTGCAAGCAAAAGTAGACACAACCTCACAATAAGTTAACAAAGGAAGAAGGAGTGAAATAATATTTGCACCCATATTACTTGTTGGAGTAGGATTCCTTCTAGTCTTGAAGGGGGTGTTTGGGTATGTGAGATTCACTTCGATCCCGTTTTAATGATTTGAATCGTTCGTTTTGTTAAGTGTTTTGTATATTTCATTCATACAAAAAATAAAGTTGATTCGATAATTTAACTTGTTCAATTTATTATTTTTGTAATAAAAAAATGTATGATTTATTTTTTTAAAACATAATTATTGTCCATAAACATGATAAATTGAACAAGTTATAATCATCGGATCGAATTAATTTTTTTTTGTGGATAAAATACATGAAGTACCCAACAAAATAAACAATTCAGATTATTGAAATAGGACCCGCGATAAACCACACGATCCTGAGTAATCCCCTTCAATCCAAATTTTGGACTTGAGAAAATCCTCCTCCTTACTTGTTAGCTCATATTTAGCACTTAAAAAATACAAGATAATAAAAATTCAGTAACTTTCATGCAATTATATTCAGTTTGTATTTCATTTTTATTTTGTGGGTTGGCTCATTTGCATAGCTTTATTTTTTATTTTTATTGATAAATTGCGACAATAGTCCTGTAATTTAGTCTTTATAATTTCAATTAGTTTGATTTTGATCATGAATTTGTGATTTTGTTTCAATTTAGTTCAATTAATTACAACTCTTAACATTTTTTTTTTAATGAAAAATATGCATATAAGTGGCATATGTCACATTTTTTAGAATAAAATTATAAATTTACTAAACTTTGTGAGTTAAACTCAACTAATTTAATGATTATTTTCCATCAAAAACACTAACAACATTATTGATTAGGCCAAAATGACACAAAATTTAAAATTTAAGAGTCAAAATTGAGTCAATTGAAAATGACCGGACCAACATGACACAAGGGATAAAATGTAGGGACCACTAGTATAATTTGCCCTATTTTTATTTTTTTGATCAGTGAGAGTTAGTTGTTAGCAGTTAGATTAGCACTTATAAGAATTAGCATCCCCACCCTTACAAAGTATAAAGTGCTTGCCTCCTAATTTAACTTACTCTTAAAGAGAGTTGAACTCATGATTTCCCCCTTAGAATAAAATCCTTAGAAGAATCATGATAGCCAACTAAGTTAAGCTTAGTTGGTTTGCATAGCTTCATGTTAGCTAAATAATATAACTAATTCAACAACTAAAATCTGACGAAAATTTTAAAAATAAGAAAAACAAAGCAAGTGATAGAAAAGATTTTCTGATCTGATGAAGAAAAATGTCAAATTTTGAATATAAATTAAAACATGATAGGTAAAGTGGGAACCCTAATTGAAGGTGATATGTTAACGTTATACTTTGGAAGAATGATGGTGGAGGCATCTGCATGAAAATTGGGAACTCTGTCATAATAAAAATTCGAAGTATGTAGTATTGTTTGTTTCTTTTGAGAAGTATATATATATACCTTAGATTACTATTGAATTCTTTCAAAACCGGCATGTTGTTGAGAGGAATATGAAAAGCTTCAGACCAAGAGAACTGCATAAAAGTAGCAGCATTAGGAGCCCCCCAACTGTAATAGTCTGCCAATGAGTTCAAAGCTTTATTCTGAAATGGTTGCCGGAAAAGCTTCACTTGCTCGCGCTGCAACCTTGTCAAGACATCGCAAGAAACACCATGATTCACAACCTGGAAAAGCCCCCACTGGTTTGCAGCACTAGCAAGCTCTCTCTTGCCCTCTTTCTGTTCCAAGTTGCAGAGACTTAAACGACTAAGATCAACAAGTGGGATCTCATATTCGTCGAGGATCATAGGTTTTTTCTCATGCACACTCTCTGAGTTAGTACCTTCTTCCGAGAAGTTTACGAAAAGGGTCTTGTAGATTTCTTGAAATGGTGGTTCTGATTCCATAGTTACGGGATATTGAGAGAAGAATGTAATAGGTCAAGATAAAGAGATTAATTAAATTGCATAAGCTTCTAGTATCTATCTTCTACTTATCTGTTATGAGGACCACATAAATGGCACTTACTTATCCTATAATTTACCTCCTTAAAAACTTAATTTTTGACATCCTCTTCATACTAAGGAGAAATTTTTATTTTTCCTGTTCTTTTTTTATTTTTCTTCTTCTTCTTCCTCCTCTTTTTTTCATGCTACAAGATTTTATAACAAAATTATTTTTCAAACCCAAGATGTAGGAGTTCCTACATCCTAATTCCCCCCCCCCCAAAAAAAATAATGTGACATCTTAAGGTTAAAAGATTTTACATGTTTTTGGAATCCTATTGAGCTTATTTGGTTCTGATTTTCAGAAAATAATTTTCAGAATATTCTGCTTTTTTATTTTTTATATTTTAATGTTTTCAATGAATTTTTTTAATATTTTAATAAATTTTAATTTTTTTAGACACACCTAACATAAGTACACTTAAAAAGTATAATATTTGTAAAAAAAAATCTTTAAAAAAATACAGTAAATACCAAAAAATACAAAAATTTAGTACGTTTTTCGTATTTTTGTTTATTTATTAATTTTTAAAAATATTTTTTCACAAATATTTTACTATTTATATACATCAAAGTAAGATGCATCTAAAAAAGTAAAAAAATTGCTCAAAATTTAAAAAATATTCACTAAAAATAAAAAAAAACTCAATTTTCAGAAAACAAAAACCAAACACACTGATTTATTTTAGGTAACTTATGTTTTTTTTTTTTTAACTAAATCATTATCTAAAAACATAAAATTTAGTTTTGGTAAATTTTACTTGAATTTTTTTCTTTCTTTATTTGGGAGATTTGTTCAAAACTCTCTCATAATAAAATTTTAATGAATTAAGGACAAAAAAAAAAAATTTCTTAAAAAGTTCAACACGTACCACTGTTACATAATATTAAACTTTAAAATAATATAATTTTTTATCTAAATATCGGCTTTTAATAAAATTAGTATTTTTAGAATTCTCTTATCAAGATTTATCAAATAAGATCTATGTTGATTTTGAAATTCTTTAAAAAAAAAATTATTACCGTCGAAATTAATGTAAATAGTAACATGTTACTCTGACAATATTGTCCAAAAATAAAAGAGAGAATATTTTACTTTATCATTACTCAATTATGCGCCTCCTCCTTTAGGGGTTTGTGAAGTAAAATAAATTAGGGACTCCTTTTCACCCAACAAGGGTCTAATAGAAGGGTTTTAACTAAATTTCCTTTCTTTTCTTTTCTTTTTCACAATCAAATTGTTCCAAAATTGTATTACACAATTAATATCCGTTGAAAATCTACATACATTAGGCAACATTGTATGTCATAAAAATATAGAAAAAAAATTCTCAAAAAAAAAATCAAATTTATTCACAAATATTTTAAAGTGCATCACGTCTGAAAAATTTTAAATTTTGATTAAAATATGAAAAAGTTACTACAGACAAAATAACAAAAGGAAATAAAAAACTTCAAAATTATCTTTCAAAAAATAAAACCAAACATACTTTTATTTGTCAAAAATAAAACCAAACAAAATCCTACAACTCACAATGTTATTTGATGTATGTAAATTTTCAACCAGTACTAAGGGGTTGTTTGGAATAAACTATATAAGTGCACTTTTTGATTTTTTAGCTAAAAAGCAGAGGAAAAAAAGATATACGTTTGGGATAATTTTTTGACTCTTTATGAAAAAATGTATATTAAAATATTGTATCAATTAGTAAAATTACCTTCCTACCCTTCTGAGCACTGACATGCTTTCCGTGCATGTCAGTGACGTCCCTCGTCAGTGCATTGTGCCTCACTTTTTTTTTTTTTTAAGTGCATTGTTGGAAGGGGACAAAACCAAGAGCATTTCTGCCTTTTTACCCTCTATTTATTCAACCTTTTTTTTTTCCTCACCCAAGTATGTGAATAGTGTTAATTTTTTTACTTTCTCAGTAATTTTTTACCTTTTTATCTTTTTTAGGGGATGTCAAACACCTACTAATTGTACAATACAATTGTGGAATAATTTAATCGTATAAAAAATAAATTGATATATAAAAAAACATAAATAAGTTATCTAAAATAAGTAAGATTCCAAATACAAATTTTATTGAATTACGTAATCTCTTAACCAAGGTGCTACTTGAGAGGTAAAAGCTTTCACATTTTTGATTGGAGGAAAACATCTCCTTACTGTATTTGATAATGTATATAATATGATGTCAATATGACAATGAGTCCATTGGCAATTGGTTTCTTTAATTGTATATGGCTAAACTTGAGAACACGCGGCTCCTTTATTCATCTCATGGAGTTCCCACTTACAAGTAATTAATCATCATTTAAATAAACCTCCAAACTAGTGCACAATGTCCATTTACATCCAAACCAACCATCCTTTTCATTCATACTATCTGGCATTTTGCCATTGTTTTGCTTCGTTTTCTTGGGGGGGTCAGGTGGTTTTTTGTCACTATCTTTTTAATGAATAAATGTAATATAATACATAAATAAAAGATAAATGTAATATAATACATAAATAAATTTTTTTATTTGATTTTTTTTTTTTACGATCAGTGAATCTGCATTAATAAGTACATATGAAATTCATTGTTTTGTATTTATGGATAAAAAATAAAATAAAACATATATATGTTTATATGTAACAATTATTTTTTTAAAATTTTAAATTGCTGTAATGTTGTTCATGAAGCCATATATATGTATCACTTGACTTGACTTGTGAAGAATTAGAAGATTATGACATGATCAGTCGGCAATCCCCAAGGAAAGGGAAAACAACAAATCAATGTTGGAGTTATAAAAATAAAATTAAAAAAAAAAACAAACAAACAAACTAATGGTAAATTTATAAAATTTAATTATTAAAATTATAATTTTTTTAATGTATAGATAAGTATTTTAAAAAATACATCTAATTTGTAATTCCCCCACCCACCCCAAAAGAAAATCTTCACGCCTTAGAGCATCTCCAATGTTTACTATTTTTTCATTAAATTTGAATAAAACTTTCATCTAATATCGAGCATTTCAATAGAAAATTTTCATTTTTCATCAAATTACTTGTCGACCGGGATGACGATTGAGAGGATGTTCGGTCAGTGGACAAATTAGTGTAAATTTAAGGGAAGTCTAAGCAAGGAAGATGTTGTCCACAATCTACCGGTCGTTCGTTGCATAGCCCTAATAGCTATTTACAGTAATTTAATAAAAGACTAACTATCCTCAATTTGATGAAAAGTTTGAAAAATCCTCAATTTGATACTGATTTAATGTTAACATTGAAGCACTAAAATTGTATATTTTTTTTTATCAAATTTAAATTTGATGAAACAAAAGATGAAGTGTTGAGGACACTATTACTACGTTGCTTAGGTGAATTGTATATATACCCCACCTTTGATTTTTATTTAAAATAAAATAAAACAAAAAAAAAAAAATTTTGGTCTAAATAAAATTTGCTTGGTATACATATTTGATGGCCCGTCAGAAGTGGTAATCAAAGGTAGCTGGAGTGGAGGCACCTTAGAATAATGTTTCGAAATCTTGACTGTTAACCAAATCAAAAAACTGATTGGATCAAAGATTATTGATTCAATAATGGAGAGTCAATCGGAATTAAATTGTGACGTTATAATCATATTTTTAATAGGAAAATACTTGGTAGTTTGAAAATAAAAGGCTCGAACGGTCTGAATAGGTGTTTACCGGACGTCCGCGCGCGGACGACTGGGATGAAAACTTGTCTATCACAGTTGTCACCTTGTCGATCGCGGCTGTCAGCTTTTTTGTCGAACGACTGGCAGGATGACCTGCCGGACGACCTACAAAATGAATTTCGAATCATTCGAGCCAACCTCAAATTCGAGTTACACAGCAGTGTTGTTTTCAATATATTATTTAAATTATATTATATTTATCATTTGTGTAAAATTTACCAAATTATAAGTTTAATCTCACTACTTTCAAACTAAAACAAACCGGGCTTAACACTCAGTTTGGATGGAGGGGCTTGGTGATAAAAAAAAAAGTGAGACTAAGAAACATCTTCACTTGTTTGGATAATTATGTGAGCAATGGTGAGAAATAATAAGAGATGGTGAGAAAAGAACTCTCACCAAATCTGAGTTTTGGTTCTCACAAAAAATGATAACATTTGGTGAGAAAAGAATTAGGTTTAATGAAAGTTTTCTAAAACACTAAAATTACTTTTATAAAAAAACATAATTTGTTTATATGAAAGATTATTTTAGTAAAATAAATAAAATACTTAATTTTTTTCTTTCTTATTTACTTTATCCAAACAAGGTAGGCGACAAATTATAATATATATTTTTTTTATTCATCCAAATATAATGGTAATAAATTATAATCATTTCATTTTTTTTTTTCACGTAATCAAGAAATTACAACAATTTCTTTTATTACCTGTTCTCAAGATCCAAACAGAGTGTAAGAGACTGTTTCGGCAAGTTTCGCGAATACCGGAAAAATTCGGGCGGGAAGCATAATACTATGATTCCCAGAGGCACCATTATTAAAAAGTTATATTTATACAGAACACATCAGACAAATCGTTTCCCTGTTTCCCTAGACTCCAACATATCGAAGGATTGCTTCAGTTCAGTGTATGTTTTCCCTTTGTTGTATATTCTGAACTTGATTTCATAATCTCTGCATATTTTTCCTCTCTTTGTAGCTTTCTTGACTCTCTATTTTGATTTTCTTTTCTTGGATTTCTTTACTTTCTTAGAGAAAATTATGCATATATATGGTGTGTGAGTGATTTTCTGACCACACTGCCAACTTAGTTATTCAGCTGAAGAGTACTGTCAGAATAGATGACACCTGGCTGACCTGCAACAGAAAGAGAAGATTCCGACGGTGGTTCGTCCACCCGGGGGCACTCCGACGATCAAGTCAGTATATCTCTCAAAGATAATCAATAGTGCTAAACTCACT